GGCACGAGTAGAGGTAAGCGCAGCCAGCTTCTCTTCCAGTGACAGGCCAGCACTACCCCCCTCCGTGTGAATCTCCTCACCAGACTCCTCCTTCCCGTTGTTGTCAGATCGGTTATCAGTCTTGGAAGCGCTTTGCTTCTTCGTCAGAGGCGCTCTCTCTTTTGGCGGGTTACGCGGCATCATGCAATGATGACAAAGAACCAGCATACGATGTAAAAAGGAGGCCAGAAATGCCGTGAAGGCTGGGTGTCTGAGCACATTCCTAAATAGTGATTGCAGATCACCATTGGCAGCTTTCTGCCACTGATACTGATGTTGTGTTTCCGCTGAAGAGACTGGTGGATGGAGACGTGAAACCTTGAGAAAAAACCGAATGGTAGATAGCCAATCCTAAGTCAGCGCGTCAGCCTGGAGATTGTAATAGGGGATAAGCTTCAGAAAAGCAGTGTCTAGAGCCTTGGAACTGGTTGAGCCTTGAAACCATAATAGCAAATCCCGAGAAGCAAAAGTTACGGTGTCCGCCTGATGGACACAATAGGTGTATCGATTGCTTCGCCGCGATAACGCGAGTTCATAGCTGTGGTCTACAAGGTCAACTGACACGTAGGCTTCACAAAATGCTGGGTTGAAAACCCTGAAGAAATCTATGGCGGCGAGCTCAAGAAGCATTGAACAACGGGTCTGACTGTTGGGTGTGTAATGTGCGGGCCGTTGCCTATGAAACCCAACGGGTCAATCAAAGCCCGGCCTTGTGAACCACACAAAGCACATCGCACTCCGTTACTTCTTCGTCAAAGACAAAATCGACAAGGTCAAGGTCAAACTCACGTACTGCCCAACCGGTGACATGGCAGCAGATTTCTCGACCAAGAAGCTGCCACGTCAGAAGTTTCAGCACTGCGCCAACCTCTGCGGGATCTCGAAGAAATCCCACGTGGCTCACCTTCAGGAATGAAGGGGAGTGTTGGAATAACCAAAAAGTTATTGTACCATTCCCGAAGCTTCGCCTTAACGGATCACTTTTCAACGGAGCAGACAACATTTTATAAAAACCGCACTAGCTCATATAGAGCACGCGGCAGTTGAAAGTTACGCGTAAGTCAACAGCCTCAGCAGTTGACCACCAGCAACCGCACTCAGAGGTTACGTCACCACTGCTCGAAGGTTACACGATGTAATGAGGCAACTGCCGAGTATAGCAATAGTCGCTGTTACTGTAGCAATACTGTTAAATAAGGGAATGTACCCCTCAAAGTACATGGCTAGGTAGGATTGTTATTTATATTCTTGTACTCCTATTCCAAAATCATCTTGTTCTATTTCAATTATCATTAACAAGGTCACTAGAAGACTTCATTGTCAATTATCATCCACTATGATAGCGCATTTCTTATCCTATATAATAAGTGCAGACATGGCAATGTCTCATCTCATCTCATGCACCCTGTGAGGGCTGTAGCACTGTGCACCTTGTTAGTTGATATGTGTGTGTGTGTGTGTGTGTGTGTGTGTGTGTGTGTGCTTTCGCTGTGCAGCACTGCGGTGCGACACTCACAGCCACTCTCTATGCGGAGCTTTGGTGTGAGGATTCCGACATGGTAACCACACTCACATATCTCATGCTCACTGGAACCCCGCTCTTGTTGTGCTTACATAGTTGAAATGTCCATACTTGTCTGCTCTCGGTCTTGGGAGTTTCAACCTTGCCTAGACACCTGTTGTGCTGTGCCCTTCCCCCACCTTCTCCTCCCCTTCCCGTCAATGGCCACTTCTTGCGAATGGCGATTGTCTCCTCTCAAATCCTCTCCTGCATCGCTTCTCTGCTCTGATGGCAGATGGAGCCTCACGAGGTGCTGCTGATGGCGTGCAACAGTGCCATGAATGAGCCCGATGCCATCTATGTTGTTGCCTGCACCAACAAGGTGCGCATGCACGGGGAGTTGGCAGTGCAAAAATGCGGTGAGATCAAGAGTCACTGAGGCAAAACATCGGTGCTAGATACTTCCATGATATGGCTCTGAACTGTCTTAATGACATGCGACAAATCGGGCTGGCCTTTGTCCTCTTTCCCCCTCCATGCCCGTGCATGCAGCTGCCCTCCTGTCTGGCCATCGACTGGCACGTGGGGCGATGGGAGAAGGTTTTAGAGACGCTGGACCATGCCATGTCGCACCGCCCTGCACCTGCTCCTGCTGCTCTTTCCTCTGCTGCTACTCCTGCAATTCCCTCGTTATAGTCACAGTCACAGTGGCAAGGGCAGTGGGCGTAGCAGCGAGAGGTGACAGCACTGCAGCACATGGCATGCTCCCACATGCTGCAAGCGTACTGCCGCGGTGCCGTCACGACGCTTGCTTCTGCTTGTGCCACTGGTGGTGCCACTGATGGTGTTGGTGTTGTTGCCAGTGCTGTTGTAGGCACGGCAAGTGCAGGAGCGGCGGTGGATGGAGCGCTTGGCACAGAAAGAACCGACTTTCAGGTCAAATTTCGTGTCCACATGCCCTTTTCTTACCTACGAGATGTTGTTCAATATATGATGCACACATCATCTTGCACATCCCCCCATGTCCCTCCTCGGCACTCACACACCTGGTATCATACACTCAATAAACAGTAATACATGTCTGTAAATACCCGCGCTCTTTCATCCGGCTTCTCAAAATGTCTTCTTGTCAAGGCAGCGAGTGACCCAAACCGGTTCCCATCTTACAACAACCTGGACTGTCCGTTCACATTCATTGCCGTTTTGATCTGCACAACCATATGCCCACTCTTCCGCTCACCCACATACCCACACACCCACACGCACACTGCTGCGCCTCCCGTTGTTCCTCACTCCCCCACCCCTCTCATCTGCAGTACAAAGCTGCCTACAAGATGGGCAAGTGGGACCTGCCAGCACCTCAGCTCCCCGACCCGCCCCAGTCGTCACCCTACCCGCCCTCCACCTCGCTCACACTCGCAGCCCGACCAGGCAACACCACATCCGCCATGCCTGGTGGTGTTGCTGCTGGATTCCATGCCGCTCTCTACAGGTGTGTGCATTGCACCTCCTCCCCTCTCCATCTGCATGTTGGGTGCTAGTGGCTGCCGGCTCCACCCGTGTGGCCATGACCTCATCTCACTCACGCATTCTCATTCGGTTCACTGTGAGCAAGTCCGTGAAACAGCGTGAATTTCTGGCATACTATTTCTACACTGAACATCCAATACAAGAGGGTCTAATCCCTTTTTGGCCTCTTTGCTCCATCACTTCCTCTCATCCTCTTGCACCCGCTACCTCCCCTCGCCCACCCATCCATCGCCCTCACCCGTCGTCCTCTCGCCTCTCCCATGCCCCTCCCACGCCCCTCCCATGCCCCTCCCACGCCCCTCCCATGCCCCTCCCACGCCCCTCCCACCCCCCTCCCACGTCCCTCCCACGCCACCCACCCTCCCTCTGGCAGTGTGCTCAAAGCCCTGCACAACACTGACTGCACCTCCTCCATCTCCGCTGCTGCTGCCGCTCAGCAGGTGCTGCCATCCCTCTATTCCTCTCTTTTGTGCACAGCCTATGCATGCACACACCCTTTCCTCAAGGCACACACATTGTATGTTTCACTTCACCGCATTCGCAATATGTCATTGCAGGCGTCAACATGTCACGTACCCCAACCAACCCGCATCCCACCATCACCAACCAATGCACAACTGCCTGTGCATGACTTTTGAGACGTCTCAAAAGTCCATGCACTATGAAGCTAATCCTCACATCTTCTTCTCCACCCATCCTTGTTTGTTGGTTCAAAGACTATTGTTTGCCAGCTGGCGTCCACGTCAGCAGAGAGTGCTCTCCACATCAACTCTCGCCTTGTCCTCCTCCAGGTCACCCAAATTTCCTCGTCCGTTCATCCACTCAACCACGCATATGCTCACCTCCAATCATCCTCCTCCCTCTCGCCCCTCTCTCCCCTGCCATTATTATGTCTACATTCCGCTCTCCCCTCCCCGCCCACACCCCACCCAGTCTCATGACCACCAAGAATCTCTCTCCCCCTGCACCAAGTGACGCCGCATCACGCCGCTCTGAAATGCCCCTGCCAACTTCCATGGCAGTCCATCCGTAATGCGAACAAGCAAGCCACTGCTTGGCCACGGCCACTCTTATTCCCCTTCTCTTCCCCCCTCCCTCCCATACCTCTGCATGTCATTCGTTCTGGCCGTGGAGAACGTGCACTACGCAGCAGCTCTCACCCTCACTTTGCCCGATGATGCTGTCAGGCGTCTCAAAATTACTTCCCCTTCCCTTTTAACCCGCATCTCCACATGTCATTCAGGCCCTGGAGAACGCCCGAGAGGCAACGGCTCTGAACCTCGCCAATGGTGCAGGCCGGCCCGCTCATGCAGGGCAGGCACAGCTCACAGAGGTGGGCAAGACAGAGGTGGGCAACACAAACTACCGAATCAAAACAAAACAGGATCCGATAGACGGCACACAGGAGTCTATTTTCCTTTGTCTAATGCCTATTGTCCACACCAGTCAGAACTTCCCTTGCTCGAACCCTCCATACTCCGCATCCATTCTCCCACGCCCTCACGACGCCATTCATATCCATTCCTCTACTCCACATACCCGTTTGCAATCTCCATCAACACTTACCCCCCTCACCCCAATCTCCTCCCAGCAGCAGCTGCACACGTGGCAGCACCAGCTGGCAGTGTGTAGGAGCAGCTTCGAGCTACAAGAGCCTCTGCTGAGCCGTCGGGGGGCGTACCTGCGGGCATGTGGGCAGCATACCGCCCTATCACTGCACCTGCTGGAGGCTGCGAGCCTCTGCCGCAAGGTGGGGTGCCGTGCTGATTTGTGGTGTGCTGCTGATTGCATGTGTTGAGCTTCCAGTCCCTTGCTTAAGGAGGCCATAAAATGAATACACCAGGCAACGAGCATGGTACACGAATTATGTAAAGAGCAAAGTGGATAGTATCAACCCATAATCACATAAGATTTCCAAGTCACTAGTCCAATGATCCTATCTCCATCATGTCATTCTAGGTTCTTCTTAATCAATCCGCACCACCTTCCCTTCATCATATGCTGGTCTGGACCTCATTGCTACGATCTCCTACACATTTCTCGTTCTTCATCTATTCATCAATTTCTCTCCGTTCGTCCTGTGCCTTCCCGTCCTCCACAGGCGCGTCTGCTGAGCCAGGCAGCAGTGCACGTGCAGCACCTCAAGGACGCATGTCGTGCCCTCACAGCCACGGGCCACGCACACATCACTGTGCCTTCCCCATCAGCATCAAACAGCGGACCCACATCGTCGGCACAGGAAGGAGCGTGGGCAGTGGAGGGAGTTTCGTTCTGTGGGCGGGTGGAGGAGGCGAAGCTGCTGGCATTGGAGGGGCAGGAGGACATGGCCGTGCTCCTGCTGCGGCACCTGCTGCGCCAAGACCTGCCTCTCGATGCCTCCCAGGGATCTCCTTCGCCTGCTGCTTCCGCTGCTACTTCTGCTACATGTGTGCCGGTGCTCGACTGTGTCTACACGCTTGGCTTGGCGGCCAAGTGGCTTGGGGAGACACGCTCTATCAGGTTCGGCCGGATTGGGAGGCTAGACATGAGCATCAATTTCAAAGAAGAAGCAATGCAAAACGGCACAGCCTCCTTCTATCCACAAGTGAAAGTCACGTGCATGGCATTTTTATGTCGACGCTGTGCACTATGATTCGGCAATAGCTGGCATTGGCCCAAAATTCACTTGATGTGCACTCCTCGATTCGTCTATCCCATTAACGATCCAAGCCATTGCAGTTGCTTCCTTATGTTTCTGGGTTCCCCTCTTTCTTTCTCCCCTCCCGCTTCCCTATCTCATTCTCATCCGACGCCCACCAGCTCGCGCACGGTACTGAGTGACTACCTCTGGCACGTAGTGGACCTCACGCAGCACTCGCCCGCCACCTCACCCTCGGCTGTTGCAGCCACTGCAACCCCAAGCTACGCCTCCTTCCCGTTTGTCAATAACTGGCACCAGCAGGAGCAGGAGCGGCAGTGGAAGCAGTAGCAGCAGCAGCAACAGGGGGGGTATGGGCCGTAGTAAAGGGGTGAAGAAGAGCAAGGGGGGCAGGGGGGGGGAGGGGGGGGAGGAAGGGCAGTGGCAGCGACGGCGGCAGCGGGGGGAGGTGCATTTTCAGATGGCGCGTTGTGTGGATGGGCTGTTCTTGCTGCTGCATGCTAGCCTGCACTCGCGGCAGTGGCGTGCTGCACCGGATCTGAGGAAGCACAAGGTGCAGTGAGAAAAGCAAAAGGCGAGATGTGAGAGGTGCACAAGATGGAGTGAAAAATAGGCACTGCGGCAGGGGCAGTGGACACGACACGCACAGGGCCGACATGCCTGTAGCCGAGGATGCAGTCACACAGACATTTGCACACCATTTGGGCTAGAGACAAGTAGGGCCTCGGAAGTGAATGATGCTACTCCTGTTGAAGGTGTGAAGTAGGGACCATGCGCAACTCTCATCTGTTCACTTGCTCACCTGCTCACTTGCCCACCTGATCGCCTGCTCACCTGCTCACTTGCGCACCTGGTCGCTTGCTCACCTGCTCAGTTGCCCACCTGGTCGCCTACTCACTTGCCCACCTGGTCGCCTGCTCACCTCTAACATCCCATGCTCTGCCCTCCACCCACCACCTCTCTCGCTGCATTCCTGGATGGCATGGCAGCGAAAGGAGCTGGAGAAAACGACAATGCGACTGAAGGCTTCCAGACGAGTGAGTGCTGACAGTTGAAGGACCGCTGAATTCGCCATCCCCCCTGTGCCCTCTCTGCCCCCTGTGCCCTCTCTGCCCCCTATGCCCTCTCTGCCCCCTGTGCCCTCTTTGCCCCTTGTGTCGGCTGTGCCCGCTCTGCCCGTTGTGCCCTTTCTTCACATTCACATTAGTTTTGAATAGCAACATGCAAATCTGTCTGTCAATGCACATTCACCACCAGAATCAACTCACTTTCAGAATCAGCACCGCCTCACTCCATCGTACGCGTGGCATCACATTGCACCGCACGACACCACTTCACCTCATTTCAGGAGGACGAGAGGTGGGTGTACGGGCTGAAGATCATGGAGCTACACAACTAGCTGAGCATGGACGACCAAGAGGCCAACGACCTGCAGGTGCGCTCCCACCCACTCTCTCTCCCTCCCTCTCACTCGCCTGCCATCCCTCCCGCCTGCCATCCTTGAATGTTCTTCAAAATTCTATAAGCTGGAGTTGTTTTTTATATGCTTCTTTCTTCAAACAGTGTACCCTAATATGTTCTCTACTAAACACACAAGCAGGCAGCACCTCATTTGAGCATTGCGTTGCATCGCTGCCACGTAGATTCATAACACCTAGGGGTGCTGTTCACTCTAATAGGACCTTTGGTTTCCTCTACCTCTACCGTGCTGTCGAGTGTGCTTTACTGTGCTGCGCGGTGTTGTACTGTGCTGTGCTATACTGTGTTGCGCGGTGCTGTACTGTGCTGTGCTATACTGTGCTGCGCTGTGTTGTGCTGTACTGTGCTGTGCTGTGTTGAGCTGTGATGTACTGTCCTGTGTTGTGCTGTGCTATGCTGTGCTATGCGGTGCTCTGCTGCGCTGCGTTGTACTGGGCTGCGCCGCGCTGCGCTGTGCTGTGTTGTGTTGCGCGGTGCTATGCGGTACGGTGCGGTGCAGTGCGGCGTGGAGCTATGGTGTGCTGTGCGTTGTGGTGCTGTGCTGTGCTGTGCTGTCCTGTGCCGCTATGTGCCGCGGTGTGTTGTGGTTTGGTGTGCTGTGCTGTGCGGTGGTGGTGAGTGCAAAGCGAGCATGACCTGTACCTGCGTGCTGATCTCAATTATTACATGAACTGCCTCTTAGTGTTAGCCCTCAATCCCATACTTTGTATTTTGTACTTTCTATATCCTAGAGTAGTGTAGTTTGCACATTGTGTTTGGTTGGGTGTACACCCACATCCCAACCAAACCCAAATGTAATCTCCAAGCAATCTCCAACCCACCAATTGGAGATTGCTTCGGGATTTCCCCCAATCCCTAGAGATTGTCCCCGATTCACCTTCCCATCTATTCCTTGCTCATCCTGGATGTACTTAAAGAGCTTCGAGCTCATTACTAATGCATGGATTTTAAGCTCTAGTTCTGACATGAGATCAAAGCAATTCAACCGCACACGGGTATCGTGATCCTGCTATCTCGACGGACCCTTGTCCTGCATTCTTCGACGTAGCCGCCATCAGTCCCGTCGCCGATGATTCGCGACTTCTTTGGCCGGAAATTTTCCCGCACCACTCTCCCCTCCTTCTTGATGAGTTCCGCAACTTCTCTGGTAAGCGCATCGTCGGCGCTCTCACTAATTGCGTGTCTCGTCTATCTCGTTCCCACCACTTCTCGTCGGGCTGCCGCCCGTCGCCCTGCAACTTCTCGTCGGGCCAACCCATCGCCCTGCAGCTTCTTGTCGGGTTGCCGCCCATCGCCCCGCATCGTCATCTTCGGGCCGTCGCCAATCGCCCCGCAGCGTCATCTTCGGGCTGCTGCCCGTCGCCTCGCATTAAGCACTCCCATCGTCCCGCAGCTGAACAGGTATAGCCGAGCAGCCACATAGCAGCGAAGCCGTGAAGCTGAGGGACAGGGCCGGGGTGGGGACTCAGGTTAGCAGTTAGCTGACAGTATTAAAATCGGTGATTTTAACAATTTTCGTGGACCTCTCAAAACCTATTACGTGACATTCCGAAGCGGCCGACGTTGACGATTTTCGCTATTCGTGTCTCTTGGATTTCAAAATCGCCGCGCAATTTGGTGACTATCGGTGACTTCGCGCGAGTCTCAAGGGGTGCTTCATCATGGCCTTCACCTCGTCCATCATCGCCAAACCCATCACCCCGCTCCGTCTTGTAGCCGACGACACGAGCTCCAACTTCAAGGCATGGAGCTACGGAGTTGACAAGCACCTCCTGAGCCGTGAGGTGCATGGGCTGGACCTCAAGAACGTCCTCCTCAATCACGGCAAGGGGAAACAACCCCCCATCCCTAAGGAGCCGTCAAATCCTTCCGATGCTGCAGCAACCAAAAAGTATGAGGAAGCGGTTGAGAGGTACCGCAAATGGGAGAAGGTCGATGCGGCTATCATTAGCGTTTTCATCCGTACAACGCCTCACGAACTCGTCAATACCTACCACAATTACCCCACCTCCAACGCCGTATGGAAGCACCTTCAGGACCGATTCATGAACAAGACGGAGTTGGGGTCGCCATCCTCATTCCGAGCATGTTCCAGGTGTGCCTCGAGGACTCGTCGGGCATGGCACTACATCTCCAAAGTTATATCCATTCATGGCGAACTCAAGGAACTTGGTGTAGTCTTCCCCGAGCAAGCACCGGCAGCAGCCCTTCTTGTTGGCCTCACCTCTGGATACGAAGTCACGAGGAAGATGCTCCTCACACTCTCGGCGGAGGACCTCACCTTTACTAAGGTCTCCTCCGCCCTCCTCTTTGCTGAGAAAGACACCACGCCTGAAGCCAAGGCCTACGCCCTCCGTTCTCCCGTGCCTCAAGCAAGTGTCGCCTCGGCACCCTTCCAGCGCAACCGCTTCCCTCCGTGCACCTACGTCGTCAAGTATGGCAACCGCAAGGGACAAGTGTGTGGTGGCACTAACCACCCCCTCGTTACGTGCTTCAAGAAGAAAAACGACGAATGGTATGCCATCCACGGAGTCGACAAGAAGTCGCCGAACTGGATGCGCCCTTGTAAGGCCAATATAGTTGAGGTCCAGGACCCCGCTTCGGCTAGTGCTAGTGATAGTGCTCCTGCTGATGTGCGTATCAACTTGCTGTTCCTCGGCACTGCCATGATTGATGAAGCTTCCTCTCAGTACATCGGCTCATCAGAAGCACCACAATACATAGAATTCGCATTCGATAGCGGGGCCACTCACACTGTGCTCAAGGAGACACTCTCCTTCAAAACCTACTCTACACCCATTCGTCTTTTGGGAGCCGATTCTAGCTTCACCACTTTTGCCAAGGGTTCGTCCATTGTCCCATGCCCCGCCTTCCCATCCGGCACTGTCACTGGCATGTACGTGCCCTCACTATGCCACAATCTATTGGATCAAAAAGAAGTTCAGGAAGCTGGGTTCCGCACCATAATTTTGGAATACAAGGACAATTGTGAAATTACTGACCCACCCACCAACAAGGTCCTAGCTCGCTGCACCCTCAACAGCAGCGGCCTCTACACACTGCGTGTACCTATCCCACATGCGTCAACCACCCAAGCACAGGCTGACATCACACCATGCTCATGTCGCAGTTTTGCTATTTCCTTGCAATAGTTGATGACCACTCTCGCTACGTCTCTGTGCACCTTCTCCACACTAAGGCTGAGGCCATCATGGCGTGGGTCAATCAGGCACAGACCACCTTTGGCTGCAAGGTCAAGCGCCTCCATTCAGATGGTGGTGGTGAATTTTGCAATGACAAGCTCAAGGCCTTCTGCTCTTCGGAAGGCATTCTGCAAAACTTCAACCTTCCTGACAGTCCGCAGCAGAACAGCATAGCAGAGAGTCGTAACCAAACCTTGGTGCAGATCGCTCACTGCCTCTTCAGCCACTTCCATGCTCCACTCTCCCTCTGGGTGTACGCCCTCTATCAAGCTGCCCTCCTCTACAACCTTTTACCCCACCCGCATCTTCCCG